CACTCACCAGAGGGGAAAGAAAACAGTCCCTTAAGGCAGCCGTGCTAACTTCTAACCAGACTCCCAGGTGCTGGGGCGGACCGGGGGCTGCTTCCCTGGCTGGAAGGGTGAGAGCGGAAAAGGGCTCCCTCCCGCCTATCTTGACTGCGCCCGGCCCGGAGGCCACCTCGGGGCCCCGTGGTGCTCTGTGCTCGTCTGCCTGAGGCATCTCAGGATTCAGGGGTTCGTGTCCGCTCTTTGGGAGGCTGAGCTGGTGGGCGATGAGATGACAGGGGTCCCCAGAGGGCTTGGGCAGAGGGCCTTGCACAGCCCTGGGCTGGTCTCAGGGCCGTGGGCGTGTGGGAAGCAGGGCCTCCCCTTCGTGGGGTGAGGTGGGGTGGAGTTGGGTTCTGCGCATCCCCGAGTGCTTGGCTCCCTCCCCAGCGTCCTCGCTTCCCCACTCATTTACTCTGGTTCTCACCTCACCCTCTACCGTCCCCTCCTGTGTTCTCTTCACCACCGTCTCCTCATCAGCATCCACAGTGTCCATCACTCCGTGGTCCAGGGCCGCCCCAGCTGCCTGTGTGCACCGGGGTCTGTGAATACAGGGGCCTCCCCCTCGTGCCCAGCCGTCGTCTTCTGTTTCCTTCTTAGCTCTTTCCCACTCCTGGGAGCTCTTTTCTGCATTTAGACCTCACGTAGCAGTGTCTTCAGCTTCCTGCTGTCAAACCTGCAATCTCCAGTGCCCCTCCCACCCCCGTGCCCACCCTCTCCTCCCATCCCATCAGGAAGGCGTGTCTCTGCTCCCCACCACACCCCTCGTTCCCCTCTGATTCCCCCTCTGGTCTCTCCAGGATCTTTCTCTCCTCCCCGTTCTGCTTCCTCGCCACCTGCTCATTCCTGCACTCATGTGCACTGCCTTCAGATGCCATCTTTTGGAAACCCTCGGCAGCCCTCCCAGGGGCACCCCGACCGCCTGCCCTCTGCATCCAACAGGTTCTCCATGTCCTCAGCCCCTGTGTCTCCTTCACCCCTCCAGCTCCTTGTGTGGCTTCCGCCCTCCACGCCCGAACCTGCCCTCCCCAGGTCACCGCTGTCTCTCTTCACACCCGTGGAGAGGGCTTGGTTTGGGGGCAGCGCTCGATGGCTCCCACCTCCTCCCTCTGCAGGTGTCTCCCCACCCCTGTGGGTTTTCTCCGTCTCACCTGTCTCTCCTTCCCCCTCTTTAGGCTTCGCTGTTTCTCAGGGCTCTGCCCTTCTCTCCTCCCAAGTGATGCCCGTTCCCCGGGCAGCTGTGGCTGCCCTGGGACTTCAACAACAAAAAATTTGCTAGTTTTTATTTACTTATTTATTTAGTGATAAAATATACGTAAACATAAATTGAAGTGTACAAAAGGTCATACACTGTGCGCCCATTTGTGTCTGGCTTCTTTCACTTGGCACGATGTTTCTGAGGGGCGTCCACTCTGTAGACTGAACCAGTGCTTCGTCCTTTCTATGGCTGAATTCTGTCCCATCGTCCGGACGGGCCTGCTCCGTGTATCCGCTCACCAGGTCGTGGGCACTTGGGTCGCTCCCGCCTCCTATGAGCAGAGCTGCCGTGAACACCCACGAACAGGGTCTGGTTTGCATCTCTTTCCCGATCTTCTGGGCTTAGGCCTGGGGAGGGGACTGCCGGGTGGCACGGTGACTGCGGACTCCCCGTCACCGCGCCTCGGCGGGCGGGTAGCTGCCCGGTGCTCGTCCGGGCCTCCGCGGCCCTGGTATGACCGGCTTGGAGCGGGGCCTGCGCAGGGTCGCGGCAGTCGCTGTCTGCTGCGTGGCCGGGCGGGTCACGGAGGGGCCTGGCTCTCCCCGCAGGCGGCATCCTGGTGTTCCTGACCGGGCAGGCGGAGGTGCACGCGCTGTGCCGCAGGCTGAGGAGAGCCTTCCCCCTCGCCAGGCCCAGGCCGCCAGGTAAGCCGGGGGCTGAGGCCCCGCGCCCCAGAGGCTGGAGGTGGTCAGCCTGGGCTTCCGAGCCCCCCCCCCGCCCCCTACCCCAAGCATCGGCGCTCGGTGCAGTGACCTGACTCTGGATGGTGAATGTCAGAATTCTGCTGACCTGGTATCAGCCAGGAGAGGTCTTTCTCTCTGATCTGTTCATCTTTTCCCAGACGAGGACGACCAGGAGGATTCGGTAGAAGAAATGCGGAAGTTTAAGAAGTCACGGGCACGGGCGAGGAAGACCCAGGCCAGGGTACATAGAGGCCGGTGGGGGCCGCTCAGGCTCTGAAGCGCCCTTATCCGCGTGGTGGCTGTAACTTGCTCCGGTGCAGATGTAAATTTGATTAAAACAAGATGAAGTTGGGATTCAACCCCACAGTCATTTTAGACACATTTCAGATGCTCTGTAGCCACCTGGGGCTCTGGGGACCTCATTGGACAGCAAGGGTCTAGAACCTTCCTCCCGTGGAGGGAGTTGCCTGGTGCTGCTCCAGGGGCTATTGGGGGCGGGTGGGGGGTGTCTGTGATTGAAACATTCCAGTCTCCCTGTGCTGGGGCCCAGCAGAAGCTTCCAGAGGACTGGGCCCTGAGCCCCTGAGCAGGGCCTGCCCAGGTCCCTGGGGAGGGCGGGACAAAGGAGAGGGACCTTGGTGCCTGCTGAAGAGCTGGGGGAGGGGGCAGGCCGGGTGTGGGGGGCACAGACCTAAGAGCGTCTGCCCAACATCACTACTGCTTCTGCAGCACACCCGGGCCGCCTCGGTGCTTCAGGGGTCTTAGCTGGCAGGGTGCTCACGGCAGCCTTGAGAGAAGTCCCACGATCGTCCCCGAGTCTCAGACGAGGACACTGAGGCAGAGGGAGGTTGCATGACCTGCCTGGGGTCACGTGGCTCCAGGGCTGGGGAGCTGGGCCTGGGACGCAATCTCCACGCCGGATCGCCCACAGCCCCTGGTGCTGGTGTCTCGTTTACCACAGACGTTGCCCCTCATCAATCTGGACAGTTACTCGGTGTTGCCTGCGGGTGAAGCTGACGAGGACAGGGAGGCGGAGATGGACGAGGAAGAGGAGGCCCTGGGCTCCGACCTGGACCTGGACTTAGGGGACGATGAGGCAGACGGAGGTGCGGCTGGGACTGGCGGGGCCTCGTCCTGATCACTCGTTCAGCACGGCCTGCTGAGCCCCGGGCTGCTTGGTCCCAGCACTTGGGCTCCGGGTCAGGCGGCGGGCCCTCACTAGTGAGGAGCTTGCAGAGCTGGGGTCTCTGCCGGCTTTGCCCCCTGCTGTCTCCCGAGCTCCTAAAACCTCCTGGCGCAGAAGGGACCCTAAGACATCTGTGTGGGGGCGCCACTCCCGGGCTTAGGTTTTGCTGGGTACACACAGGCCTCGGGGGGGTGAAACCACAGCAGCCCCCACGCAGGCCCCGCTGCAGCAGCACCAGAGCAGGGCTCTTCCCAGGAGGAGAGACCGCAGCCTGTCTCCAGGGTCAAGCACCCTGGCAGCGGGGCTGGTGTAAGGTCCCCTCCAGCAGAGCAGGCCACGATGCTGGGCTGCTGCCCGTGGGTGCTGGGTGCAGCGCGCCTCTGCCTTCCCTGCAGGTGAGCAGCCCGACGCCTCGCTTCCCCTCCACGTGCTCCCACTCTACTCTTTGCTGGCCCCAGAGAGGCAGGCGCAGGTAACAGTGCAGAGCCTAGGCGGGGAAGGGGGGTGGGCAGGGGGTGCACCTAAGGGCGTTGAGATGGGGCAGGTCAGGCCCCGGGTTATGCTCCCCATCAGCTGTTGGATCAGCACCCCAGATTTTTGAGAGGGTGTTGGGATCTCCTGCTTGGAGAACAGAAGCACCTCCCACGTTTGGTTTGGGAGCAGTGGCCAGAGGCGAGGAGAGAACATGTCGACCTAGTCACCTCCCAGGCCCTGCCCAGCCTGGCCGACTTCTCTTTGATGGAGAGAAGTTTCCTGGCTTTGCCCCGTACCTCTGATCTCTGTCCCACGAATTCTTCCCTGATTCTGGTGGGACAGAGGTCGGTTTTCTTGCTGCCCAACCACCCCCCCCAATCCTAGGTCTTCCAACCTCCCCCAGAGGGGACGCGGCTGTGTGTTGTGGCCACCAACGTGGCCGAGACATCTCTCACCATCCCGGGCATCAAATACGTGGTGGACTGCGGGAAGGTCAAGAAGCGGCACTACGACCGTGTCACCGGCGTGTCCTCCTTCCGCGTCACCTGGGTCTCCCAGGCCTCGGCTGATCAGCGGGCGGGCCGCGCGGGCCGCACAGAGCCCGGCCACTGCTACAGGTGGGGCTCCCCAGGCTTCTCCAGGGACTTTGGGGCCACTCTGCAGCACCCACCCACAGGCGAGAAAAGGGGGTCCTGTGTTGTCCGGGAAACTGCCCCTGGAGTGCTCCCCTCACCTTGTCAGGGTGGCTTCCAAGCACTTGCATTGATTGTTCATTCTACTACTGATGTCAGGCACCTTTGTTCCTATTTTGTTTTATTAGCAGGTTTATCAAGATAAAATTCACATAGCATAAAATTCACCATTTTAAAGTGTGCAGTTCTGGGCATTGTAGTATATTCAGAGAGTTGTGCAACCATTACCACTGTTAATTTTCAAACATTCTCATCACCCCAAAAGAAACCCCCCACACCCGTGAATTGGTTCCCCTCCTACACCTCCCTGCCCCCACCCCCAGCAGCTGGCAACCGCTAGCCTACTTCCTGTTTCTCCAGGTTTCCTTTCTCTGAACATTTTCTGCAGTTAGAATCAGACAACATGTGGCCTTTTGTGTCTGGCTGCTTTCACTCAGCATCACGTTGTCAAGGTTCGTCCAGGTTGTAGCCTGTGTCAGAACTCCATTCCTTTTTCCCTAGAATATTAAACACAATAATTTACAATCCATTTAATGGCAACTGGTAATCAATTAAATTAACAATGGTCATCTTCAAAAGTTATGACGCCAGCTGTGCTGTCATTTCTTGAGTTGATCAGATACCTGGAGTCACAGAGATTTCCGACATAAGATGCATCATATAGATCAAAGTTGGTTTATCACCAACATTTATAAAACCAGACCCAGGTAAAGAAGTAGGTCTGGCACACACGCATGGTCGGTTGCTTTGGTTGCTTTTACTTTTAACTTTTTTTTTTTATTTTTAATTTTATTTTTTGTTTTTTTTGGAGGAAGTAGTTTTATTTTCTTTAATGGAGGCACTGGGGATTGAACCCATGACCTCGTGCATGCTAAGCACACGCTCTACCACTGAGCTCTACCCTCCCCCTGAACGGTTTTAATACAGTGAATGTTTAGCCTGCCCAGATTATTACAGAATCAGAAGAGCGAGAGTATTCACAAAGAACTCTGTTCGTTTTAATGGCTGAATAATATTCCATTGCTCGGATGGTCCACGTTTCACGTATCCACTCACCTGTTAATAGACATTTGTGTTCCGACTACATTTTGGTCACTGTAAATAGTGCTACTGTGAGCATCCATGTACAAATATTTGAGTATCTGTTTCCCTGTCTCTCGAGTATATACCTAGGAGGAGAATTGCTGGTTGAGGGGGAGGGTAGAGCTCGGAGATAGAGTGCTTGCTTAGCGTGTACGAGGTCCTGGGTTCAATCCCCAGCATCTCCATCAAAAAAAAAAATTACTTCCCCCACCGCCCCAAAAAAAGTACACAGCATATGTCAAAATTGAAAAGAAAAAAATTACTTTTAAAAAAAGAAAAGAAAGAACAGTTGGGTTATATGGTAACTGTACATTTAACATTTTGAGGAGCCGCCAGACTGTCTTCCACAGCGGCTGCTGTGAACAGCAGTGTGTGAGGGCTCTCATTTCTCCGCATCCTCACCAGCTCTTGTATTTTTCCGCTTTACGAAGAGGGAGGTGTGAGGGGGGATCCCGCGGTGGTCTTGGTGGGCGCTTCTCTCGTGACTGATGATGCTGAGCGTGTGTGTCTGTGTTCTCTGGAGGAGTGTCTGTGCAGACCTGTCATTTATTTTTGTTTATCTTTTGGCTGAGGAGTGCTAGGGGTTCTTTGTTTAGTCTGGGTATTAGATCCTCGTCAGAGGAATCATCGGCAAATATTTTCTCCCAGTCTGTGTGCTGTGGTCTTTTTTTAAATAGCTTTATGCTGTTCTTTTCAACATTGCTTTAACTTGCAAAAAAGGAAAATTGAGAGATTGTGCAAAGGAAACTAGTAAGAAATAGAGTAGCTCAAATCTCCCGCGTGCTGCATGCCAGGCCCTCGTCTAAGTCCTGAGTGCGTGATACCCCGAGGGGGCATCTGCTGTGTTAGCCCCATTTCACAGGTGAGGAGAGTGAGGCAGGAAGAGGGTAGGTACCTTGCCTAGTGAGTGGCCGAGTGCAGATTCAGTGCCAGGCAGCTGGGCTGTTTCTTTGTTATTTACTTAGATTTCTTACCACGGCTGCTTCTCTCTTCTTAGGCTCTATTCATCTGCAGTTTTTGGTGACTTTGAGAAGTTCCCCCCTCCTGAAATCACCCGGAGGCCCGTTGAAGACTTGATCCTTCAGATGAAAGCTCTCAACATTGAAAAGGTCAGTCGCAGCCCCAGCCCTGCATCACCCCACTGATCTGCCAGTGTCCCTGTGGCCAGTCTGGTGGGTGAGGGCGGCCCCACCCCTCATAGGCTGATCCCCCTTCCCTGCGGCCCTGGGAGCCTGGGGTGCTGAGCCGCGTGGTGCTTGCCCAGCCCCCTGGCTTTCTCCCTTGGGACTCCTGCCTCCGCAGTGCTGCACCCACTGAGCGGAGGGCTGTCGGTGACCTTGGGGCTCACAGGATGTCCTGCCCACTCAGTTTTCACATTCCCCCATGCAGGGGTCGCCCGCCTCTCCCCTGCTCCAGGAGGGGAGGGGTGGTGCAGGCTGAGGGATGCCCCCTCCCCATCAGCAGTCACCCCCCAGCCCCTGACAACCACAGGCCTGCTTTCTGTCCCCGAGGATTTTCCACTGTGGACACCTCGTATAAATGGTATCATACAATATTTGTCCTCTTGTGTCTGCTTCTTTGACTCAAGCTCATGTTTCAAAGGTTCACACTGTAGCGTGTGTCAGAGCTTCGTTCCTTTTTCTGGCTGAGTCGTGCTCCGTCACGTGGATGGGCCGTCCTTCGTCCGTCTGCGGGTGGGCATTTGGGCGATTTCCGCCTCTCGGCCGTCGTGAGCGGCGCTGCCGTGAACACTTGTGTACAGGCGTTTATTTGCGCGCTTGTTTTGAGTTGGTCGGCCTTTCTAAGGTGCCACCACCCCGAGCCCGGTCACTCCCTGTCCCCTGCCTGCTTCGTTGGTGGGCACATCTACTCTTGTGATGCCGTTCTTTCCCGTGTGTGCTCGCCGGCCGTCTGGGCCCCTCCTGCTTGGATGACACCTCCCTGGAGGCACAGCCCTCCTCTTGCTTTCCCTGACCTCCGTTGCCAGGAGCAGCTCTTGGCCCACGTGCGCTCTGTACGTGCTCCTGAGCGAGTGGGTGACATGAATAAATGAGGGGAGGGGGTTCCTCCGGCGTGTGGGCCTTGAGTGTGCCCAGGGCCCCGTGTCCTGTGTTCTGAGTGTGCATGGTGCTTGGAGGGCAGACGGTAGGCCCCCCTAGCCTCCTGCAGCCCCCTCCTCCACGGTCACTTGTCTCCCTGTGTCCCAGGTCATCAACTTCCCCTTCCCGACCCCACCCTCTGTGGAGGCCCTCATCGCCGCAGAGGAGCTGCTGATCGCGCTGGGTGCCCTGGAGGCGCCCCCGAAAACAGAGAGGTAGGACCAGGCCTGGGGGGCAGCTGAGAGCCCAGATCCCGCCCCGTTCTCGGCCCTCTCCCCTCTCCCCTCTCCCGAGCTGACCTGAGCACCAGGCCTCCCGCTGCTAAAGGCTCCACGTGGTGCCCCTGTCCCCGACCTCCGTCCCCCAGGGTGAAGCAGCTGCAGAGGTCCCGGCTGAGCTGCCCCATCACCGCGCTGGGCAGGACCATGGCCACGTTCCCCGTGGCTCCGCGCTACGCCAAGATGCTGGCACTGAGCCGGCAGCACGGCTGCCTGCCCTACGCCATCACCATCGTGGCCGCCATGACCGTGCGGGAGCTGTTTGAGGAGCTGGACAGGTAGGGGCCGGGGGCGGGCACTCAGGGGTTGCCTGGGCCGAGAGAGGACGTGCAGCCCAGGCTTCTGGGGCACAAGTGACTCACTGAGTCGTGTTCTGGAGCCTGGCGGTGTCCTGATCTCTCTAGAATTGTTTCCTTTTTTGTTTTTTTTTTTTAATTGAAGTATAGTTGACTTACAATGTTGTGTTAGTTTCTGGTGTACAACCTAGTGGTTCGCTTATCCGTATGTAAATACTACTCCTCATGTTCTTTTTCATGATAGGTTATTACGAGGTAGTGAGGAGAGTTCCCTGTGCTGCACAGCAGGGCCCTGTTGCGGGACTGTTTTAATAAAACACCTCAGACAATGCTGAGGTCAAGGCTCGGGAGCCCAGAGTCTGAGCCAGACCTCCTGGACTCCAGGCTCCCTCTGCCGCTCTCAGCTGTGTGGCCTTGGGAAGGTGACCTCACCTCTCTGTACCTCATGTTCCTTGTCTGGAAGACGGGGACGAGATGTGAATCATTGAGAAATTGTTAGAGTTAAGATAGTTAACGTGAGCAAAGGACTCCACCCCATGCCTGACACCTACCTGAGTGTCAGCTGTCATCTGTAGGTCTGGGAACCACAGGAGTAATTCATTCATCCAGCCCACACTCGGTGGATATTTCATTTCTGTTTCTAAGCAGCACAGTGATGTGCAGTGCCCCTCGTTTGTTGGATTATTTCTTTATATCGATCTCTAGATCTGGAATTGCTGAGTTAGGAGGAATGCATAATTTTAATCTTTTTGGCTGCTGGAGGTGAGTTCTGTGCCAGATTTTAAGACTATGATCACGTTAATCGGTGACCCCTACCGATCCCATCCTGAGTAACCAGTGTGTTCCCAGTCCCTGTGGCTGAGGGCAGCCAGGGCAATAGCCTGGTTGGTCTGTGTCTTTGCAGACCGGCTGCCAGCGACGAGGAGCTCGCCAAGCTGAAGGGCAGGCGGGCCCGGGTGGCCCAGATGAAGAGGATCTGGGCGGGGCAAGGAGCTTCCCGGAAGCTGGGAGACCTCATGGTGCTGCTGGGTGAGTGCCCGGCGTGGGCGTGCAGGGGGTGGGTCAGACAGGGACGGGACCTGGGCAGCAAGTGAGTGCTCCCCTCATCCACAGGTGCCGTGGGATCCTGCGAGTATGCAGGCTGCTCCCCCCAGTTCTGTGAGGCCAACGGGCTGCGGTACAAGGCCATGATGGAGATCCGGCGCCTGCGGGGCCAGCTGACCACGGCAGGTGCGGCCTCACACCAGCCTCAGGCAGTTCCCGGCAGAGAACTTGGGCCTGCTGATGGTTAAAAGTCATTTTGAGTGACATCATCCACACAGAGCCAGTCCCCGCTATTCACAGATTCCGTATTTGTGAATTCATCTGTTTGCTAAAATATATTTTACTTTTTTTTAATTTTTTTTCGGGGGGGGGAATTAGGTTTAACTTGTTTATTTATCTATTTTTAGAGGAGGGACTGGGAATTGAACCCAGGACCCTGTGCGTGCTAAGCATGCGCTCTACCACTTGAGCTATACCCT